GAGGTAGCCAGTAGAGGCAAGACGATCGGAAAGATAAATTGCTAGATTTACAAAAGCTTCCATCGAGAAACAGAATTTGAAGCTTTTTCCGACGATCACCGTCCTTATTGACAATAAATGGAAAATCCACATAAACCTTCATTGTTTTTAGCCAACCATTCTGAATCTTATGTATCAGAGAGGTGTGTCGAAGCGGGAAACGGGAGATTGCCTTTAATGTATGTTCTGTTGGCTGCAACGTACACAACGTACGCTGCGGTACGTGGGGCGCCACTATCGCAGACTAAACTTAGCTCGAGTTCGCCAAAGCTAAGTTGAAAGAGATCGAATGCGTAGGTTAACAGTATAACATATAAAGCTGGATTTGTAAATGAGCCGACGAAAAGTGATTGACAGTTCAGTAGAATAGGGCTTGGCAACAACGCCTTTCCGAATGACCGTAATTAACATTCCATGGGTTCGGTCCCTTCAACTTGGGCCAATGAGAAGCGGGGATTGACAAAAAAGCCAGTCGAGGAGACGCCCAGATAGTCTGCTGTCCTAATTTACTCTGGAGAGATTCAACGGCCAATTGTTTATTCTACGTGAATACTTGCATCGATCTGCACACCTCTGCTACACAGTCCAATTCGGTTTCAAGTAAAGCATAAGCTTAAGGGAAGCTTGGAGACTGCGCCCACCTAATGAGCATGGAGGGGGAAGTGAAACAGGTCATGGGCTGTCGGAGAATTTCCAGCAACCTTTTGAGTCGTTTCCTTCATAAACAACAGTTTGCCCTAGGAGCGTTTCGTTTGTTTCTTGGCCATTGCTTGGTAGTTTTGGGCGAATTTGCTACTAACAGCATATCAGATCTTCCTGTGATGATTCGCGTGTCACGTTACGTGCTGTTTCCAACTTTAGGGTCTGCTGAGTGGAAAGTTTCCTTTCAATTCGCTCATGAGGATTATTTTTTGTCAATGACAGGAACGAGTACAGCAAGACGAAAGCGTCTGGTTTCTGCTGACCGAACTAACATTTCTAAACGGTTCTGATTCTGTCCGCTAAATTGAATGTCATTTGAACTTGTTGTTATGTAAGAATCACGAGCTGATAGTGGGAGTTAGTGAGCCCTCGAACAACCAGTTCATCGAATTTTTTACTAATTGTTACAAACACCTCAAAAACTCCCCTCCAGCAATCCTTCTGGGTTCTGTGAAGGAAGGTTTCTCTAAAAGACACCGCCTGATGGGCTCCGAGAAGGTCATACATCTTCAGGGAGCTTTGGGCAACCTTATGAGACCAATGTTCTGTCAAGAAAATATGGCACGGTATCCGGAATATCATACCAAATCGAAATTGAGTTGGCGTTCATGCATATTCGGTTGATGAATATCATAAACGAGAGATTCAGCTCGGATTCAGCTGACTATCCCGTTAGCACCAACATAGTCTGTAAATGAATGTATTTTACCAATCACAAACCGGTTTCATTTTGTAGCGAGATCTTAGCATCTGAAAGGAAACAGGGTTGCTGTGAAATAAGTGGGAAGTGATTTCCATCCCCTTTCAATAATTTGCTACACATTTCCGTAGCTGACAGGTCTGTATTGATTCAGACTAAAGTGAAGGTGCAGTGATTTCAGGAAGTCGCGCGACTACGACCACCATCAATTGTCCATTATTGAGATCACGCAACGAGAAACAAACCATAGAGCTACTGTTACAAAAATTTCCAATCTGAGTGTGAATCCCACTCGTATGTGGGTATGAAAACCGAAGAACTAGGAAGATATACCTATACAGTTACCTGTCTAAATGCATTACCCCACTGCTGCTAAATATTACTTAAGCGTAGATCGTGAAATGGGAATGTTTATCTGGCGACCGGCTTGGTGGGAAAGAAAGGAAGGAGCGAGCAAACCATGAGCTACGAAGCAGTGAGTGTGCTTCCAAGTCGGTTGGCAAGGTGCTGAACTGGTGTGATTATCCTCGGTCAAACTGCTCGCTTAGAGTGCACACGGCAGTGTGTTCACTGTGGTCATTCTGACTATCAGTGCCGTTATGAATCAGGTTCACCCCACATTCCCACCATCTCTCTCATAATCTGCTGACTGCACTACCAGACTAGCTTCCGGAGTGATGATCAAGACGCTTAAAAGTCTTTCACTGTTTAGTACAACCATCTGATTGTAAGGTATATAAGCATATAGTCGAATGATGTCGCTTATAAACCTGACGATCGGATGTAATCGTAAAACAGTGTCCCCAAAGAAGTACCATTATGGGCCGTGACAAACTGGGTGTCTTCGACTGTGCGGTGTCGTCACTGACTGCACATTTCTACCTCATTGCTTAGAACTCTAACGGAGAAGAAAAACGTCAATAATATTGATCGGAAAGTGCGAACTAATCGTTAAATTTATGATATCTACTTGAGCCCTTTGTTGTTTCTGTGAGGTGATATTTCTTTATAACCCGTCAGTCTAACAAGAGGACCAGAATTAGGAACAACAGATTTCTTCTACGTCTCAACTGAGCGCCATGAGTCTCGTAAACTTCATCACCTGATTATTGACAGAGTTGTTCAAACAGAGTTGCTAACCAAAGCACTGAACAGAATGGAAGACTTCTCCCACCTGTCGGAGCAGATTGTCACCGATAACCTGAGAGCCTCAAGAAACAGTAACATACCTAGTCATTGTATCCATACGTCAATTGGTTCTACGTCATACGTAAACACATGGGCAGGCAAACAATCGATACACAAGCTAACAGCCTCAAGAAACAGTAACATACCTAGTCAGTGTATCCATACGTCAGTTGGTTTTACGTCATATGTAAACACCTAGGCAGGCATACAATCGATGCACAAGCTAAGTACTTGCGAAAATCACTTATTGAGAAGAACTCAAGTTTTCACGTTCACATCTGCTGTGTGTGAATTTGGATGCAATTTCAAATTTGGTGCATCGATTCACCAAGGAAGCGCGTGTTGAAGACTATCAGGAGCTACCTATCAGTCGTCAAATTATCGATCAATAAGCTTTCCGATTTACTCATACCATTACTATTCTTCTGGGTACAAATAACATGGTTTCTGATGTGCATTGCAGTCATTGCTTAGGCTTGTCCATACCTTATTCTTTGTGATTCACATGTATCTGTGTCCGTTCTCATGAGGAGAGGAACCTATACGAAAATCTAAAGCAAACTAATTTGGTTTTTCGAGAGACTCATCTGGAACCCGGCTGAATCTCTCGTTTGTGATGTTCTCAGGCAGCTGAATGTGCTGCACCAGGCCGCCTCAAGTTTCAGACGCTACGATATTCGTGACATCGCGATACATGTATATCTTTGTAATGTACTACTCATAAGGTTGCTGAAAATCCGTCGACATCCCACGACCGGTTTCGCCCTTCCACTTCAGGCTCATCGGGTAGGCGAAGTCCGCGGGTTTCCGTCAACCTTATGTTCTACTTGAAACCGAATTGCACAGAATCAGCGAATATACACTCATTTGTTATCCCCTTGTTCCGGAAGGTGCAATCTCAAGAAGCCATATTTTCTGAAGACTGCTTACCTTACTTCACTTTGTGATAACTGGTTTCCGTGGAAGGATGAGTCGGCCTCAGGGATATTTTGCAATACCACCGCACATGAACGGTGGTCACAGAGTCAGTTCCAATTACAGAAACGGATGCTGTATGCCGGGTTGAGACTAAACCTCCTCAAAATCTGACTTGAAGTTGCCGGTGCAGGTTCTCAGCTGCCCCATAATTCGACAGCGCCACAGTTTGTATGGACAAATAGCCAGTGCCAGTCACCGCTGGTGTACCAGTTACCTGATGCCTGGTATGTCTGGACGGTCTTCTCTAATTTTCGAACTGTCAAACGACTGAAATTTGCTTTAGACAACACTGGCTTGACTTAAAACGACATATTTTGATCAAAGTAATTGGATTTCAGATCCAGTTCGTAGGTCCAACTGCCATTTTGCCAGCAAACCTCCTATCCGTACTTTCGAGGCGCCAGGATGCCAGCAAACCTCCTATCCGTACTTTCGAGACATCAGGAGCAGCAAAAGAAGTGAACCCTGTACAGATTTAACTGCCATTCTGAGTGGGATTAAACAGTTTGTATTGGAAGCCGTTGCCTGTATCGGCGTGGAAAGCAGGTGGTGGGGTCTATACGTTGAAGACAGTAATTCGCGTGTGCGCCATCAGTGTACGATCATGTCATGTCTGACAGTGTCTCGAGTCCTATCTCGAGGTATCCACTCCTGGGAATCGCAGTTACCAGCGTAAATGAAGTTACTGTTTATATCATCCTTACTTGGCTTCCATATAACCACCTTATCTTTCCTGCATGGTTTTCTTAGTGCACCGCTGTTGATGATGACCATAATACAAATCAGGTGTATACACTAATAAAAGTTTTTAGCATGGTTGACAGTGGTGGTTTTCAACACGTATAAAAACATATACAATGCGAAAATGGGAGCAAGCCAGAAAAAGGAACTTGTCGTCTGTGAGAGTTCCTTGGTGAAAGTCCGGACGGCGGACGTAGCGGACGTGTAGCGACTGCTACACGTGTTCCATAATTGTCCGTGGACGTGTGGAGAGGTTGACTTCCTGCTCCCTGCGCGTGTGTGTCGACCTTGTTCGGTTTCCCTATATATGGGTCCGTTTGCGTGTCTATTAGCACATGAGTTGTTGCTACGCTCACTAGACGATACAGACAATCGGTGTCCGATGCGTCAGCTTAATGTGACGTGGTTTGAGTCTAAAAAAGACAGGTCTTGTGATCAAGTTAGCGACTATGAGCTGAACAGTCAAGTATGTGGGTGACCGGCTAGCTACAGTTTCCACGGCTAGTCCAGGAGTTCGATCCACTGACACACGAAGCACGTCGTCAGACCAGCGCAACTTACGGAGTACTAATCAATCGTGTACGAGTTGCTTACACCGAAAGCATTCGGCCTAACTGAGCATTTTTTTGCTGAGCACTTTAATGGCAGCTGTCTACATTTGGCTCTCTCCATCCTCTGCCTCTTGTCCATCCACAGTGTCTGAGGAGCCCGTGTACGCTGCTGAAGTCGGGGCTAGCTCAATCAAGATTGCCGACTGGCACGGTATGCATCGGTTGTCTGATTTCATCTGAGACGTTGGACGAATAGGCTCGAACACAGAGAGCACCACTCACTTTACGTGTTGTCACGCCCCATTCACCTCTCCATTCACACTTTTTGAACTCCTATAAACTTTGTTGTGAGCCGGAAAATAAGATGCTTCTTTCTGTTGGATTCTTCCTCTATCTGCCAATGTTTGGTTTCGTGAAAAAGATGACTACTAACATGTTTTTATCGTCAGTGAAAACATTCATCTACATTTTCCAGTTAATCTGCCGAGAAATCTTGTTTATTATCCTTTTAACTTTGCGGAAGGTGCCTATAGATCATGTCGCCATTAGGTCCAATTCGGTCTGACCCTCTTCCATGGTAGAACGAAAAATTGTTGGTACGAACATTACTCCGAGTATCATGGATGTTTCGTTGATGACGATTCATTCTTTCCTTAAGGAATCTTATCGTCTCATGAATGCAAACCAGATGGCAGTTTGACTTCCCTTGATGTGTTAGTGATTAGACGCCCTAGAGCACCCTAAAACCGTAAGTTCACATGAAGTGGAGTCTTCACGATCACTATTAGCCTGTAACCGTAGTTTGGTATGAAAGTTATTCTCTAGAGTGGGAAAAAGAAGTTGAATTAATCAATTAACCCGAAGGTAACGCTCGTAAAGAGTACTTATTCTGAAAGTTTTGGCATTCTGCATATTAAGTTCAACCAGTTGTACAACCTGAAATAATGTATTCTAAAAATTATTGTGTAACTACTTATTGTTCAAAGTTGACAACAGCTATATTTACCAAAATTTGGGGTTGACCTTCAATCAGTCCTTTCCAGCTACACAGTTATGGCTTGTCCCAGCCATCAAGAGGATTACGCTGTAGCCCAGCGATCGAAGGTCGTTTGGTTCGGCATCCTCACGTTCTGTCTACCAATCCACTCACAGTTTTGGTAACATTTCTACCGTCCGAACAATAGCTAAGCAACATTGAGGGGAAATATCACCAGTTCACACACAACAGTCGATCACATCCCTTCGGGGGTTATTAAAAGCGAGACATCTAGTGAAAGCAGACTCTTGTGTGACCCATGTGACCTTGGTATACAATGCGAACTTGAGACATCCACAGTGAACCAGCTAGAGGCGAAGCCGGCCCGCCGGCCTTGTTAGCACGCTGCGCTTACTCCTTCCCCTCAGCAATAAAACAGCGCATCTTTTTCCTTTGCTATGCGTTGTGTTGTTGTTGTCTATCCTGCGTCCATGACGGGTTAAATTAAATGAAGCGCGAACATCTGTTGGTCTGTGTTGATGTTTTTGGCGGCGGACCGTGGTCAGCAGCACTCAACTGTCCTGCTACTCACGAGTAGTTTAGAAACATGGCTATGTATGCTCCTGCGTGCGCACGCGAATGTGTGGGCGGATACCACTGGATCTTCCCATATTCGATCAAAAGCGATAAAATACATTACCAAGACGCTGAAGCGAGCAAAAGTAGAAGTTTTGGGAATAACGGTAGAGCAGTTATGCAGGATTTAGTTATATAACAAATCCTGTTAGATTTGACCTTGGGAAGTGATCGGCCTGTTACTTGATTATGAGCGTGGAGACTGTTAGGTGCCTTTTTGAGCCTCATTCATCACCTTACTTAACGTTGTTCACCATTAAACTAACTGCTACTGCTTTTCGGGCTCCTATGGACTTACTAGGGGTTCTTTGGTGAATCGAGTGAGAATACTAAAGTACGTCAGCGGTAAATGTGGCAGGTGAAGCTACAAGCTTAATGCATCTGTAAGTACATTGAATAGAGTGAATACAGTAAGAGTACCAGTATGGCGAATGATCACCTGAGGCATGAGTTTGTGGAACCCATAAGGTCCAGTTTGTCATTCAGACGTAACGGAGTCATGCAAGACAAACATCATACGAAAGGTGTATGTTGCCTGGAGAATAACTCATCCAACACCCTATGGATGCACAATTCGGAGTAAAATAGAGCGGAAGCTGGAATGAACCTAGTAACCATAACACCAAGAAAACTGTTGGATCAATAATTATTGATCCAAGACTTAAGTCTTGTTGGAAGATGCATTCGGTGACTACAGGTTCGTCGGTGCACACACGAACTGTAAAGCGAGTCAAACACAGTTCTTTAATTCTTCAGTCTCTCGTTTCAAAGTATGCAGCGCTGAGCGCTCATTAGTTCTAGTGGTAGCTTTCTAGTGGTGTAGCTTTCCGCTCATCTTGAATCTGATAGGGGGTAGAAGTGACGTCAGCATTCTTGTCTGCCATGAATGGAACTGACCATGGTCACTCCCCAGTAAACACAATGCCACCGGTGGCTAACGGTGGCCAAAGGTGGCTAGCTTTGCCACTGATTCCGTTGGTGAATACAAGCCAAACATAGCACTTTTTGCATAAAAGCCTTCCGAAAACAAATGTAACAGGACACTCTGGATACTTGAGTTCTTTTTACGAAGTAATTTTTGAAACCGATTTGTTTGAATGCACCACCGATTAAATATATCGTGAAATTTTTGGGTTGCCACCTTTGACCGCTTTTAACCACCGGTGGAGCCATCGGTGGCAAGCGTATCATGCAACCCCTATTTGCCACCTCCTGCCACCGGTGGTGCCGCGGTGACGTGTTTACTGGGTCCACTGCCAGCAGGCAGTGATTTTTAACTGATCATGAGTAGATTTCGCACAACAACTAAAGGTTTCCTGTTAGTCTAGACCATAGAACACAATGACCCAACACGCATACCAGTTGGGCAAAGCCCCCAAAGGGTCCCTAATGAGTTTGAATCAAACGGACCTCCTAAAATGATCCGTGATACCCATAAATCCAACGAAAATTTTCTATGGGTTTTATTCTCAACCTAACAACCCCGTTGCATCAAGTTTCGACGGGTTCAGGGCTGGTCATAGTGCACTCACTCAACCGAGCCTTAAGTGACTTGTGATTTCGAAAATAAGACACGCTAGTGAGTAGCGTAGAAACATGTACAACTAAGTGGACTTCATCCAATTTGGCTTACCAGGCTCAAAAATACCCAACCAGCTTAGAGTCATTTTACATGCTATTCAGCCGTCCTATCGTACTAAGTTTCCTTTGTTAGTGCACCCAGACAGAAACGGTATCCGGAGGATATGAGACAGGCGGTGAGACGGTTGACAGCGTGTGGCCGACGTGGATTATGCCCTTTAAGAAACAAAAGGGCGGATGCCGTCGCCAGGATTCGAACCTGGGTTCTTGCGGCCACAACGCAATGTCCTAACCACTAGGCTCCGACGGATCCGGTTGGAATCAGTTTACCCAAACAGAGGTGGCAAACAGTGATGGCAATTCGGATTATGGACATTCGTCCTAACTGGACCTAACCGGTTCGAAATGGGGTTAGGAACTGTTCATTCTCAAAATGTGATTTCAAGAGTTTAGTGGGGTTCCCATGTCCTATGGCTTTCGTAAATCAGGTGGGCGCTGCTTTCGAATCGCCCTAACCTGCAATCCCACGGCATCTCCGAGTGACAGAAGGATAGAGCGAAAATACCACAAGTCACACCAAACTGTACGCAACTGATTCATTCGTTGTAGCTGTTGTTGGTAGCAGATAATTTAGTCCCACACGCTGGAGAACAGATCGAATCAAATAAAGATGAGGTTGAATCCAAAAAAACCTTATCACGAAGTTCAATCCGATTAGCGTGAAAGAATCAGACATATTTAGTGAGCACATAACCAGGTACAGCTGTGCAATTTTATTCAGGTGTGAGATATGGACTTATCCGGATGCTGAGTTAGTTGACATAACGTATATGGTTGATGTCGGCTTTTTGACAGCCTACCATCGGTTTCGCCCATTTTCAGACTCAACAGTTAGGCCTGGCTGCCGAATTCTAGTCAAGCTTAGCTCGTGCTTGAACCCCAAATTCGACTTATTTGCGAATCGGCGTGACAGTATCGACATAACTTTACCGGATCCGTTGTTTATCATGTCCATCAGTAGAACTTGCCTCATAAAGGTCGCCCGTTACTGTCTTGGAACCGTACTCAATACATCGAAGTTCGATAGAAATGGGGGAACTAGGCCTACCTGATTAGCCTAAAACGGACGAAACCGCCAGTGGACTGTTTGTAGTAAAAATTCGAGGAACAGCTTGCTCTCAAGTGACATCTCGGGCGACATTCGAGAGCACTGGTTGGACAGTGTTCCGTGTATTTTTGTGAGTGGACTGAGATAAACCATACATGGGTCGGGATCAATTCATTTCTCGTGACACAATCGTCTACGGGAGCACCTGCTGCAGCGGTGTTTTCTGAACGGACAAAAATTGACGAAGTGTCACTCACCACATTTCCAGCATGCCGAGGGTGGTTTCTTGTCACCCTGAGGGACAGTATGCTTCCGAATCGCATGAGCAGTATTGCTGAGATCACTTTCTTGTATCATGACGGTATCACGCTTCAGATTCATCAGGCGCTGGGATTCCGACGTAATATTCTGTAATGTGACGTCTGGGTTCTGCTCAATCTTGCTGAGGATTCTTGTTCTTATGTCTGTGTCTTCAGGAGAGGTCAACCCGCACACAAATATAAGACACTTGAACTCATTCTCTGTCATGCTTCGGAGGTTGAAACGTTCACACTCCTTGTTGACTTTGCCCGCGTATGTAACCCAGTCTTCAGAAGCATTCTTGCTCAAATTCATACAGTGAAATCGACGGCTGAACAAGGAGGCCTGTTCTCCGGAGATTGACGATAAAACAGCAACGGTTTCATCGAAAGTCAGGTCACTTGGTTTTCGTGGCAAAATATAGTTCGTAAAGCGTTCATGTTCGGCCACTCCAATTTTCTTGACCAACTGTTTTGCTCTCC